TCCCTCCATAGAAACTGCAATAAAGATCCTTCTTCCCCTCCCCCCTCAATCCCCTCAGGCCTAGCACTAGTGGCAAGATGTGCCCTTCAGCCCTCTGGAGAGACAGGTGCAGCAAGAGGGGTCCTCCTCCCCCCCAGTCTTACACCCTGGCTGCTGTGGTAATCTGTTGGGGAAGTGGGCCAGGACCACTGCAATTTTTTCTTCCCAACATGCAAAGAGTCCTCTGCTGAGGCAGTGTTGGCAGGAGGCCTCAGAGCTGAGAGTCTTGATATGCACACAGTGTGAGATGGATGGAGCAGTTCCCACTCTCTGGGCTTTCAGAATGTCTGCTGACTCATTAAAATTATTCTCATTTTAAAATAAGATCCCTTTATGCTGGTCTGGCAGAGTAAAGTGGAAGTAAGCTGTATTTACATTCCTTTAAAGGCTCCGTTACAGAACCAGAGTAGCTCTGATGGTCTCAGATTCTGTTTTCCTCCCTAATTACAGTGGCTTTCCTGATCATGATGCATGACCAAATGTCTTTTTAAGGAATAAATTTCAGTAACTGCATGTATATACTAGGTTGTGTTTTGTTTTAAATCTTCCATGGTTATGCGTATTGTTCCTGGGGAAAGGACTGTCCCCACACTCCTTGCAGTATGCTTCACTACATTACTGACTGCACCAACTGAGAGGGGCCTAGCATCTACAGCTGCATGAGATGCTCCAAGAGACACTGCAACATGTCAGACATTATAAGGTGACATGGGACAGATTCTCGCCCCCCCCCCCCCCACCTTGCCAGATCAGAAGCATAAAGGGCCAGGTCTGTGCTGTAAGGGGCTGAGGAAGAACTCAGCTCCTGCACACTCTAGGGCTGCCATGAACAGACCTACCCTGGCCTTCTCTGAATCCCTGGCACAGGGGACACATCCAGGGTGAGAGGGAATCTCCACAGACCAGGTCATTATGAAGATTCTGGAGCATTTCATGGACAGCCTGCAAGAAACTGTTGTAAATTGGCACATCCCTCAGAGTAAATCAAACATTTGTACCCTAGAACAAACATTTGTGGAATATTTAGATTAAACCTTTACAAAGGCGTTAGTAAACTCCAGCTAATTAGCAATCTCTCAACTCAAATTAGAATAGGGCTCTAAACTCCGATCTAAATGTATTCTAAAAGGAGAATCATGGCCAAAAAAGTTTAGTTCTGAATGATTTCAAATATTCAATCTCTACACCAAGGGGCATATTCAGTCAGTTCTCTAGAATAGGAATCTTACATGGCTGCATGAATATTCTTGTAAAAAATATTTAAATGTCAGCCATGTGACATCAGAAAAGCTAGTCATTAAGTAAAGGAAGACAATTCAAATCGAATGGAATGTTGATAGAAACCAAGGTGCAACAGCATAGAAGACTCATTACACGCAAGGAATTAATAGAGGTTTGTGCATATTTGTAACACACACGTGTACAACTCACCTTTCAGCAAGGGCTGAAATACAAAATATTGTCTCAATTTAATGCTTTCAAATTCAATTTCAGATATCTTCATTTTTATCCCTAGACCCTTCCGCCTCCTGGTGAAGGATTTATTGTTTAAACATGGTTTAAATTTTTCAATAAATTCCAAGTACACCGCTACCCTATATAACGCGACCCAATATAACATGAATTCAGATATAATACGGTAAAGCAGTGCTCCGGGGGGTGGGGGGGCTGCACACTCCGGTGTATCAAAGCAAGTTCAATATAACACGGTTTCACTTATAACGCCGTAAGATTTTTTTGGCTCCCGAGAACAGCGTTATATCGAGGTAGAGGTGTATAGAAGACATTTTTCAAATTAGCTATATATTTTTTTTAAATTGTCCATGTAGCTGGTCTCAGAAGCCTAGGAATGTGCAATATCATCAAGTGCTGAAATTAACAGACCGGAAGTGTCATGGCAGAGAGGCGTTAGTCCTTTCTTAAAAAAAATAAAATTAAAAAGAATGTGATACATGTAATGAAACTTAACTTTATTTATACAAATTTTAGGGACACTGCCACTGTTTCTCTACAACGCATTTTACAGTTCTCCTTGAAACACTTTGACACTGGCTTTCAACACTCACTCAATTACAGTCTTTGAAGCAGACCATACAGAATGCATCTGTGCAATAAATCATAAGCAACATTTGGCAGCTGGGAGTGCAACATAAGAATGAATTAAAAAGGTCTTGATATAAAAACATACCAAAAGCACCTATGCTAAAGGCACCATCTCATTTGTTTGTGCTGGTCATCAAAAGCAACAATAAAGAATTTGAACCTCAGCAATAAAAACACTCAATTTACAAATGATTGGGTCCAACAAGTCTCAGAGCTGAAAAGAAAACACGGCTCCAGTGATGAGAGACTGGAGGTTTGATATATTAAGTCAATTTATTTTAAGGCTTAGAAGACAAAGGTATTGGAAGAAAAGGAAACCAAACTCCAAGGAAAACAATTGGGGAGCAGAGTTTAATCCATCCTTTTGTAGATTAGAAACACTGTTAAAGCTACATGCCTAGCTTCTGGAAGAGAGGGGAGCCGCTTGACATACAGCTCAGGCTGAGTTGTGGAGCAGCCTTGACAGACTCTGGTGGGAGCACACTCCAGCCTTCTTGTGCTGTAGAAAAGATCATTGCAACATGGGGTGGGGATTGTTCAGATTCCCAGGAGAGGGGTTCTCCCTTGGGAAGAGGATACACTTCTGTGTGCTTTGCTCAGTCTGGGGCTCACAAAAGCATCTATTCTCATCTTGATCCGTAAGCAGTTGTGTCTCTGAATCCAAGTGCATTAAGCGGAGACCAAAGCCTATTATCACTGTCACTCATAATGGTGAAAAAGTAAATAAAGATAAAGTATCCCAGAAATAAAAGCACTCACTTCCTAGAAATTAAATGTCCTCTCATAGCCCAGTCCATTAGTTCTGCTTTTGTCTCTCAAGTTCAGGTCATGTAAGTTAGAGCTCACAACTGATATCTTCATTAAAAAAAAAGAACTTGTTTCTATTGTAGTGTGGTGGACTTGGTTTGAATGCTACCACTGAGATCTCAACTTCAAGCAGTTATGAAGTTTGGTGGTGGAATGATTTGAGTTGCTCCTCATTCGGAGCCTTAGAGGCAGCAGAAGCAGTTAGCTGGTTAGCTTTGCAGGACTCAGGCAATCAGAACCTACATATCTCTAGCAATTAAGGCACTGCAGGTTCATAAAGGATGTTCTGTTTAAAGATATGTTTAATAAGCAACGGGCAAATGTTCATGTTTCACATCAATTCAGGGATCTAGTTTTTGCTAACTATATTTGCCACTGCCAGCAGAACTGCTCTTTAAAATGGCTGAGGACAAAATTTCCAGAAGTACCTAAGTGACTTAGGAGCCAAACTCCCATATTGAAAGTCGCTTTTAAATACACTTAGGCTCCTAAGTCCCCCAAGTTGCTTTTATGTGTGGGATTTAGGCACTTTTGAAAATTCAAAAGCAGAAAAGTGAAAAATGATATAAAACCCTATTCTCTGCTTTCTTGAGGCGTTAAGCATTATTTACAAGAGCACTGAAGCAGTGTTGTAAATAGCTGCTATTAACTTTAAGTGTTAACAGTAGTAAAAGCAACAGGAATAAGCATCTAATTGTGAAAAGCTACACTTCAGATTAATTTTGTTTTGCATAGAAGACATGATTGATAAGACAAGAGGAGTTAGACACTAATTTGCCATCAAGCAAGCAGAGGAAACCTGATGATACAGAGACCTACAGAGAGGTCTTACTCCAGCTCAGATCCTCAGCTGGTGTTGGGGTAGTTCCAATGAAGCTAGTGGAGCTATGTTGATTTTCCCCAGCTAAAGAAATGGCCTGCTGGTTTTACTGGTCTTTCAGGAAAGTGCTAGCTCTTCACAAGTTCAGAGAATAGTGAAATCTATTCCCGAGATGCAATTCAGGTGCATTTCACAAGCAGAATGTAGTGTTTTCAAACTAAATGGATTACTGTATCGTCACAGGTCACAAGCATAAATTGGTTGATGTGGCTTTACGCCTTGGGTTGTCTGGCACTGCAAACCAACGTTCTTAGTGGAAGAACTTGAAGCAATAACTATAGACATTGCTGTGCTACCTACTAAATGCAATTATCAGCAAAGAGTTTGAAGCCTGTTGTCTGGGCCACATGTTTGCTGTATCTATTGCAGCGGCTTCAGTTTCAGGGGCTGTAGAAGAAGCTTCTTTTGCCCTCTTTCCTAGGGTTACCATTCGTCCGGATTCCCCCGGACATGTCCGGCTTTTTGAGCTAAAAATAGCGTCTGGGGGGAATTTGTAAGTGTCCGGACTTTCCCCCCAGCCCCCATGCAGAGCGTGCGCGGCTAACAGGGCAGCCGGCCAGATGGTGCCACTTACATGGGGCTCCAACAGCCAGAGAGAGCCCCTCCTCTGCTTCCCCTGCAGCAGAAATCACTCCCTCCCTCCCTGCATTCACAGATCGCCTCCGGCAGTCTGGAGCTCCTCCCCCGCTCCTCCTCCCCTGCTGCCCAGCGTGCCGGGACGAACGGCTCAGGCCGTTCCTGAGCAAGTTCACAGAGACATTAGGTGAAGGCCAACAACAAGGGGGCCAGGGAGGTTCTGGAGGGGGCAGTCAAGAGATTGGGGGGGAGGGGGTTTGGGAGTTTCGGGGGGGAGCGTTTCTGGGGGTGTGTGGATAAGGTTTGGGGCAGGTCAGGGTACAGGTAGGGGG